TCTGGGTCCTCCCTCCTTATCAGGCCTCAGACTTAGTCTCTTCGGGAGGAGTTTTCCCTATCATCTGAGTTAGCTCCTCTGTGGTTAGTTGCTTCCTCTTGCAATTTCGCTAAGTGCTGTTAGTATTGAAGCTTGGCTATGAAGAACTTTGCGCATGCTCTAAAGCTATGAAGTTAACATTGCCAATTTAGTTATTGATCCCTTCAGAAGGAAGGGGTTCTTCCATGCCAAGGAAAAGGCAGAAATTAACAAAGCATTAATAAGTTTCGCCTTACTCTTTTTGTTTGCTTGCTTGCAGCACTGACAAGCTAGCATTTCCCTTACAGGACCAGAAGTTCAGGACTTAGGAGGTGTGGTAATACTTCCTTCCAGGGAGAAATGGAGCCTTACCATCTCAATCACTAACAAAAGGGGGGAAAGTAGTATCTCAGCAATTTCAATTACTCTAAGCCAATGTTCTCCCAACATTGCTGACATTATGGGAACACAGAAGTCTGGAGCTGCTTTCAGACTGGTTCAGAATCCTTCTGTGGAAATACCCTTAAAAGGCCTGTTATGGTGGAATCCTAATAAATAGGAGTCAGAAATCTTTCTCGCTTAATCTCATCTATGGCAATCCCATCTTCCGGGACAAAATCATCCTGTGAGAAGACTAGACTTGTGAGAAAGTATTTTAAAAATAATAGCAATCGACAGCTCTTCATCATAATGAGTATAAAACACTGCAAGGGTCTTCTAGGGCAGGAATTCATTCACAGTCAATTTGTTATATTCGCTTAGAAGATGAGGAACAACTTCAGATGTGACAGAGAATCAGCTTGTCCAGTATCTATGTATGATTATTTTTTTGGATGTTGCAGGAGAAGCATGAATTGTGTGGGAATCTGTATACTGTAGTGCTTCCTGGAATTTGCCATATTTAAAGCCTTTCTGGGAATTCTCTAGAAAGCATTGTCTACAGCAAGCAGCTATGTTGTGGTGGTACAATATTTAAGTAGGAAAGAAATAATAATAATAATAATAATAATAATAATAATAATAATAATAATAGGACACCAGTGCAGCTAAATAAGAAATGTGTTTTTGCCCTTACCCCAATCATTCTGTCCTTGAACATACAACATTGGCTATTGCATGCATGCCATAGTATACAGAGCAGTAGTACTTATAAAACCACTTGTACACAGCAATACAGGCAGGAAGCATTCTGCCATAAAGCAAAAGTGCTCTTTAAAATGCAATAAAACACAATACATAGGATTGGTAAGTCTTTGTGCTGTCATCAAGGACATCAGTCAATGTGGCCAGGGTGTATCAAGTAGCATTTTAAGGCCTGTGGTGATATCTGAGCTATATAGCTACTTGATTTTTTCGAGTGGGTTAGTAAAAAAATCTGAATGTATAAAGGAAAGGCCAAGGATCAATGTTTCAGTGATGTCAGTTGTAATCATGCAGTGATAGGAGTAAGAAAATCAGACATTCCACTTTGCTGTGGCCATATCTCCTCAAACAAAGCTTGTTGATACTATGGACTTTTTTTTCTTTTTGCTTTTTCAGGCACTTCAATTGCTGTGTACAAACAATGGATTCCAAACACAAATTTTGAAAATGCTTCTAACTGGGATCAAAATCGAGTTCCATGTGCCAAGGATGTCATCCTTTTTGGAAGTAGTAAGGTGCTTAATTTTTTAATCAAAACCAAAATTTACAACAGTCAGTCTTTCAGGAATGTGGTCTTTACACGTCTTTATTTCTTCCAGATTGTATCAGTTTTTGTCCAGGCATCCCACTCCTTGACAGGCATGGTAAGTATACTCATTATTGTGACATGTACAAATAGGGTAATACGTAAATGCATTGCATACCTAAAATTGTACTGCAGGTGGATGAGGGATTATTTTTGTGTCATTTCTATTTATGTTGTATCAGTGCAAGTATTGCTGCCTTTTAGAGTAATAAAGAAAAACAAGCCGAAACAATGGTTTCTGCAGGTATGGTCAGAAAAGTCCAGATGGTAGTCAAACTGTGATTGAAGAAAGCATAGTCAAAGCTCGGCATGCACTTGAAATACAGGCAGAGTTTCGATCACACCATCGTGGCTGCCATCTGGACTTTTTGACCATGCCTTGTGGACACCCCTGAGTCCAAAATCAATCACTTCTCTTGATGACCTTGACTTGTGTTCCTTAGAAAGAGATACTTGAAAAGGTACTCGTTCATACCCACCCTCCAAGAACCATGGTTCAATGGGCCAATTAAAATAATCCTATTCAGGTTTGATATGTTTCTCTAGTAGTTCAGTAGGATACCATATTTTAAAATATGCATTCCAAGATAATGTGCAACAACCTGAAACTGCTTCTGACATGAATTCATTTCTTAAGTAACTGTTTTGAGTTGATTCTGTTGTAAAATGCTTGTAGGTTGCAGAGAATTCTGCATGTGTTTGGGGATACTCTAGAGAATTAAAGCAGAGATTTGAGGCCTCATGGTTTACAGTTTTAAGTTAGTAAAGTTAAGTAAACTCTCCAAATTAATCACAACTCATGGCAGCTACATGGATGCATCCATATTGTTTTCTTGGCAACAACAAGGAATTGGTCTGAACTGCCTTATTTTAGAGCTTTTTTAGATTATTATTTCCTTGTATAACCAACAGCCTTCAGATTTCCATTCAATTGCTAACCAGATCCAACTCCGCTTAGATTGTTAAATCAATTTAGTTGAGCCTTGCCATTTGTTTTGTCTTTAAGTCAGTACCCTGTCCTTTTATTTTTGTGCAAGAGCAACTTGCTTCTGCTTAGTGACAAATGTCAGGGTTGCCAGTGCTTACTTAGGATTCTTGTAAAACAATGTTGGTCAACACTGCTGGATTCAAATATATCTCAGTATTAGCCAGAATTGAATTCAGGATTTGCAAGCCTTCCATGTCTGAAGATGTACATATCGCCATCCCAGTTCAGAAGGAGGACCTGGAGACTGATAGCACTTTTATGACAGACAGTTTATTTGGGCATGTATGTAGGCATAACGTGAGGATTCACGGATTCTCACAATCAATACTCCATGTAATTCTTGTTCTCCATCTGTTTCAAGGGGAACCACAATGTCATCAAATTTCTTGTAGCAAAAAAGTCAGCTCTTTACCTCCTTTTCAAACCTATTTTCAGAACAGATGGCTTAAATCTATGGACAAGGTTTGCCCTCTCCACTTGGTCTAGTAGGATAAAAGATTGAGTCATCTTTCCTCTATAAGTTATGATTTCTTGAGACTAGTCTAACCTCTGCGGAAAAACCACTTTCCTTTGTCGTATCTTAAGATGTATTTGCTCAGGAAATCTGGACAAATACTTTTGCTAACAGAAATCAGAGTCAAAATGCAATTTTGACTCTACCAACATCTTGATCAATTCACAAGCCCAAGAAATTATTTTATTGAGCCAGTTCCTGAGATACTCATACCAAATATTTAATGTCTTCTGGATTGTTTGAATAAATATGGTTGTATATTTATTCTCTACAGTGCTCCTGTCATTACATGCTTCCCTTTCCCACAAAGTATGAGCTATTCTTGGAGCAGTACTTTTGTGTTAACTTTTCTTTGTGTAGGGTTGTGTACATGAGTGTGTGGGGGGGGGGGGGGGGTGAGTGCTGCAGATTTATGACATCTCTGTAATATTTATAAGTATATATTAAAACCTGCAAGTACAAAATCTGAAATAGGCAACTTGTGGCAATCCCAGTGTTGCTGAACTACAACTCCCAGCCTCTCTACCACTGCTCATACATGCTGGGGCTTCTGCGAATTAGTTCAGCATCACCTGGAGTACCACAGGTTCTCTGCTCCTATAGTTATACCACATAGATTCCGCACCAAAAGGTACCTTCAGCTTTGGGCCTCCTGATTGTTTTTCTTTGTTTTCCTTTACAATACCAGTTGCTATTCCTCAGTTATTCATACCTCTTTTTCTCTCAGCCAGAGTATTATTCTTTCCAAGTTATGATGGGTCTCTTATTCAGAAACAAAGAGTTGCCAAGAAACTGGCAACTAACCATTAGCTCCAATTGATGGAATCCTATGAACCTTCTGAACTGTTGACTAGCAATCAACCAAAGAAAGGAATGGAGCAGCACCTATAAAGCTAGAACTGTCTGCTCTCTTTTCTATCTGTACATACTCTTAAGAAACTTAAAACATTCAATATGAACAATCCTACATTTGGAAAGAGGCAGGCTATGTAACTGAGTACCTCCCTCCACTTGTGTTTTCTTGTTAATGCATTTCTGCTTCTTCCAAATGCTTGAGCTTCTAAGAATGGGTTGTGCCCTAAAGTGACCCTTTCCCTCTAATAGTTTCATCTCACTATTGCACACTTGGGCATTCTTAAAGCATTTAATAGGCTAGTCAACATGTGCAAGTGAAACAAAATTATTTTGAAGCACACAGCCCTTAGTTGCTGCTGTAAACAATGATTCTGTCAAAATATCTGCTTTTTCATTTACCCCCCTCAAACAGCATTCATCCTAGGAACCTGAGGTTGCTACGGTGATTTGATTTCCCAGGGAGTGAGTTATCAACCATTAAATAGCTACATTCAAAACTGCATAATGCAACAATATGCAGTTGTCTTTTTCCATATGACTATGTCTACTTGCTTCGATTGTCAGTGGAGGCACTAGCTCCAGCCCCTGTCACCACTGGAAGGAGCAGGACAAGGCCTTTTTAGCTGCAACCCTCAGCCTGTGTAACCTGCTGATGCTCAGTTGTTTTCTACTCTTCATTGTTATGTTGGCATCTTATATACTCTAGGCTGTTTCAAACACATATATTGCTACTCTTTTTGATGGCTTGGTTTTCTTTCTTCTTTTGTGATTTCATAATACGTCTATTCATTTTGTAGTGAGTCTTTTCTTGAAGTTTTAATGAAATTTTAATTAATAATCTTGTTGCTTTGGAACCTTTTTCATTATCTGCTTTGAGAGTCCTTAAATGGTCAAAATTTGGAATGCAAATGTTTTAATTAAAAAAGTAAAATTTGGAATATGAAAAGTCTTGGAAGTTGTTCAGTGTCAAAAGATGGAATAAAATTTGATTATGTGCCATCAAGTTGTTTTCAACTCCTAGCAACCACATAGGTAGGTTTTCTCCATGACAATCTATCCCTAACCTGTTCTTTCAAAATTATATCATAGCAATAGAAGAATATATAGAATTTAATGTAATCTGTAATTTGCCATTTGCAAACTATGATCTGATCACCCAACAGATCCTTCAGTAAGATTTCCAGGAACTAAGAAGGGCTTAATCACATTTCTATTGCTTTCTTGTAATACTTACCTAGTTTATTTGTTTCCTTATATTTATTTTCTACTTCTTATCTGTTAGAGCAGTATATATGGTTCCCTTATCAGAGGATATCTGAAGGAGGGGGTTGTGAGGGAATGTATCTACGAGGAGGAGAGTGATGTGGGAGAACAAGGCTATCAGGAAGGAGGGGGTGCATTCCAGGAGGGGGCAGGAGGCAAGAGTGTCCATAAGGTGTAAGCAAATAAAGGAACTGGACTGGACTGGACTGGACTGTTTCATCGTTGTTCTTGGGCCGGGCCTGACATCAGTCTTGCCAAACTCATACTCCCAAGAGAAGAGAAGAAATTTGAGCATGGCTACGGATCCTCAGGGAGCACCGTTAACTCCACAGCATCTAGCAGCAGCCTTACTACAGCACCAGCAGCAGGAAAATGCCTTATAAGCCATGGTGATGCAGTTAGCACAACAGTTCGAGCAAAATGCCCAACAAGCCATAGCTGGACCACCAGTGCTCTTGCATTCTCATGGAAGCTTACCGGAAAAATATGGAGGAGTCATCAGGGAACTCAGAGGGAAGCACCACACCTGCGCTTTCATCTCTACCACCTCTGCCCAATTCCTCTGAGGACTTGAAGGGGGAGTCTGACTTTGAAAGGGGGGGGGGATGTGATGGAATGTATCTACGAGGAGGAGAGTGAGGTGGGAGATCAAGGCTATCAGGAGGGAGGGGGTGCTTTCCAGGAGGGGGGAGGAGGCAAAAGTCAACAACACAGTCCGCAGGGGAAGTGTGAGAAGAGTAAGAGATTCAGGATAGCCACTCCCTGGAATCTCATAGGCTAGATCCACTAGTTGCTGTAGTATAGATTTAGTTTGGCAAGATTCTGTCTATAAGGTGTAAGCAAATAAAGGAACTATACTCGACTGGACTGTTTCATTGTTGTTCTTGGGCTGGGCCTGACAGGGGTAAAAAAATTCAAGATGGCAGCCACAACCATGTGATTGAAGCCCTGCCTCTTTTTATGTACAGGCACATATAAAAAAAGGGCTGGGGCATTAATTTCATGGTTTTGGTTGCCATCTTGAGTTTTTAACACCCACACCCCGTGGCCAGGACAGTTAACTCTAGCCCTATCCCAAACTTTGTATGGGCAGTTAATTCTGATTCTTTAAAGCAGTGTTTCTCAACCTCAGCGACTTTAAGATGGGTGGACTTCAAAGCTGGCTGGGGAATTCTGGGAGTTGAAGTCCACCCATCTTAAAGTCACTGAGGTTGAGAAAAACTGGTTTACAGTATGGGGTCTGTCGGAGGAATACCACAGTACTTTTTGGCTGGGACAAAAAAGCACCCCCAAAGCAAGATTGGTTCATTCCTTAGAATGCTTTCTCTCAGGCATTTCTTTTTAAAGGAAAGAAACTGTGGCTAAAATCCAGAAACAATACATACCATAGTATACTGTAGGTGTAGCATCTTACAAGAGTCTTCCCTGTCTGGTTTCC